CCCCCGCCCCACCCAAATGCTCAGCGCCGTCGTCTCTACGTGTATCTCCCTCTCGAAGGAATGCCACGATATCCCTACCGGGACGAGTCCGCCGATTTGCAGCAGTCGACGACGTATCCGAATGGCTCTACTCTCCAACCTGCGAAATATCTCGTAGAAGCGAAGTGGATTTCACACCGATCGCTTCTTCAGACTAGAACACTCCTCTCGCGATGCCAAAGTTGTCCTGAAATCAGTAACCAAGTCCCGTGAACCGCAGCTGCATTCTCACGTAGTGTCTCATGTGAGACACAAGAAGGAAAGCACACATATCGAATCAGGCGTCAGCGAGGCGTCGGTATTTCAGTTCAGAAGCCGTAAGTCAAACTCAAAAAAGAGAAACGATTCCAGCGAGATTTTCAAAATCCATAGTAATAAACACGAAGTGTCAATGGTTAATGACATATAAAACGAAAAATAAAAAAATAAAAATTAATAAATCTTGTCAAAGTGTATACCTACTGTGTAACAATGCGTGAACGATACGAGAAGAATTAACATTCCTATAATCGGACTGCAAAGTGGAGCTATGCGAGTGAAGCAGTAGAGTAAATCAGAAGGCAAGTATAATGAAAAATTGACGAGCTAAAAGAGTCCAGCAAGAGAATCGAATGTAAGGAGCACGCGTAGTCAAAGCTACAAGGAGTCTCCGGTCTCTAGTCCGTAGGACAAGTGAAGAGCGTAACGTCATGCTAGGAGTCTAGAACGCATGGGATAAGAAGGCAACGTGGCGAACACTGCCGCACTGACAGTCCGAGCTCTCTACTCGAGGTTGCGAGGCAGCGAGAGAAGCAAAAGTGGGTATAGTGAAGATCAGAGAGAGTCAGAGAGACACCCATTCATCTTGGCGCGCCTAGCCTGCACGGGATTGGCTCGTGGTTGGTAAGGCTGGCTTGCGATTGGCCAGCTCTGTTTACCAGCTGTGCCGGGCTTCAGAGAGGGAGGCGAGAGACAAGCGGCGCCATTATTGTAAGGGGTTACATTTAGCTGGCCGTGGTGTAGTACGCGGCGTTCGGTATAGGGGGCTATAGTACCTTCATGCATGGCCCATAAAGGATTCGTCGACTATCCGAGAAGTACGCAAGAAACGGCTTCTAACATCTGACAGCCACGCTCTCTCGTTGTTTCGCGCCCAGCCCAATTTCGCGGGACTCGAGATCAGCTGGCTGCGCCCACTGTTATCGCGATTACTCACGCGTATTATCAGCGACGAGAGACGCGATACGCGAGACCGAAGTGGCTAACGGAATAAAGAGACGTTTATCCTTGCTCTTTGAGACAGTGGAACACTTCCTTCGATATCCTTCTCTTCGGACCCCGTTTATCCTTAACCTCAACGACACACGGCCGAATTTTACGCACCTACCTGCAGCGCCGGGATCGGGGACCCGGGACTGCCTACCTACCTTAACTCAGTATCTCTGTATAGTCCGATCCCCGATCGTTGTTGTTGTGTTGTGCAAGTTTTGTAAGTGGTAATAAAAGAAAAGTGAAGCCTGACGAAAGTAGCTATAGATGAGAGAAGAAGCTACGGCTACTGGAGTCAATAAACAGCGAGGAGTCAGAGTGTAAATCAAGGAGACGTAGCCGGGCATGATTTGAAAATCTTTAAAAGGATCCGTGCCATCTCGTTAAAATCGCCAGATCGTTATAGGGATTTAAAGAGAGTCGGTGGCCGTTCGCATAAGATGCTCGCGGCCGAGATTAGTGTCCAGTGCGGGTGTTGACTCTCGCCGGCTGTTCGCTCCTAAGCAGCGATGAGTTCTAAATTCATAATCGATAGTATGCTACCTAAGTACCATCAGCAATTCCACCACCAGCAATTGTTCTCCTCCGCGAATCCCAACTCGGTCCAGGCGTGCTCATCCAGCCCGGCGTCGGCTAGCTTGGAAAGCAGCTTGTCCGCGGCGGCTGTAGCGGCAGCGGCTGTCAATTACGCTCAACATAATTCACCGAGTCCGACGGGCTCGAGTCCTCAGCATTCCGGAAGTTCGGCCTCGACATCACCAGCAGCCAGGAGCACGTCCACCATGTATCCTTACGTTTCCGCAGCGGCGGCGCATCATCATCATCAGCAACAACAGGCCGTTGCTGCGGCAGCTTTCGGGGCTTCCTCGAGCATGGTTCCTGGTTTTGGATCGTCGGCAGCCTCCAGTGCGGCGCTCGCCGCCGCGGCGGCCGTCGACGCTGCGACAGCCGGTGACAAATCGTGCCGTTATACGGCTAGCCTCACTGGGAATGTCGCACCATCGCCTGGTGACCCCATGGTCAACTATACCCTAGGTCATCATCATCAGAACGGTGCTACTCCTGGTAGTCTCGTATCCTCTGCTTCGGCCTCCTCAGCCGTTTCCGCAGCTTCCGCATCCATGGCCGCAGCAGCACAGTTTTATCATCAAGCTGCGGCCGCATCGGGCGTTGTTGATCCTCTAGCTTCCTGTCAGCAACCTACTGCGGGTCAACCTGGCATCCCGGACATTCCCAGATATCCATGGATGTCGATCACCGGTGAGTCTTATACGTGTCCCTAACGATCAAAATAATTATTCCTGCTCAGTATCTATCCATTTGTTTATATGCCCACGGGGATGTGCATGGACGTATATGTATGTTTGTGTATGCTATACTTGTTTACTGCATGATAAACGTCATTTATATAGTTACTCCGAACTCTGCGGCTTCCGACGGCAAACCCAACGAAATACCATTCAGATTTGAAACGAGGCATAAAGATTGTACAGACACTTAAAGCGTTTACGATACAATGCTCGCATAGGAAGGTGTTTAAAAATCAATATTTTTTATATGATCTATTTCGAATTGATTGGTGACTTGTAAGGATATTAGAACACACTATAGATCAGTTGAATATAAAGATGGTCAACAGGTTCGCAGCATCTAGCTCGATTTTTGTAAAGTTTATTGTACTAAACACGACGAATTCTTCAATGGAACATGATAATTTGAAGACTTTTACATTTTGACTTATTCTACAAGCACTCAGTTTAAAAATGCCGTCGGACAACTTCCGTTGTTCATAGTAGAATATAAATATACATCACAGGCATTTGCATATACTCAGTTTAGCTGATAGTAAATTGCAGCATTGAATATCTTTTCTGACTAGTGCATGTATCACAATGTGTATGATAATTGTGTGAATTTATGTAGTACAGTTCAATAATCACGCAACGCGTTAGCCAAAACATCTTTGGATATGAAAATTCGTTTATTACAGTTTCTTTGTCATGAATAAGCACTTATGGTCATTCTAGCCGTCTTATCAAATATTTAAATACTTAAAAAACATCAAAAAATTATTCTCATTCACGTATACTGAGTAGACAGTCGCAAGTGTATCCATAAAAATACATTAGCCGGTATAAACGGGAATTCGTCGAATTCCGGAGTGCAAAAATATTTTATTTATAGCGTAAACTGACGATATTGGGTGAATTCTTTATTTTATCGAGTCTCTTCATTTTCTATTAATACGGAAGTACGTGCTGTCTACATACGAAAAAGAATTATTTTCTTCACTCTCTTTGAAATGTCTGCTGCCATTAAGAGCGTCCTGACGACAAATTAGGGAATGGAACGCGATTAAGTTTTAACGAGCGTGGGTATGTAAATTGTTTGCAAAGTCCGGATGCTAAGAGCGTCTTATAACATTCGAATCGCCTATTAACCTATTAGTTTAGTTACGGCCAGAATTCGTTTTTATTGCCACCATAGAAACCCTGGGCGATCCAAAGATATTGGAGAACGTCTCGACGTTTCAGGTCATTGTCATATACGCAATAAAGCATTAATTTATTTGGACATCCGTTATATCGACAAGAATTTTTCAAAATAATGTAAACGAAAGGCTAAACAATTTTTCTGTGTTTTTTCTACCATTAATATACTTCTATATTTCAAATATTTTAATTCTTGTAATTTCACACCTTATTGCGAACGAAATGTTATGACGAATCGATCGAATGAGAAATGGCAACGATTCGAAATTCAAATTCCACACGGATATTACCTCGTTCTTTTTCAAATTTACTTATAAACACGAGTGCATTGTTATTGGCGAAATTCGATATTGCTTTACGTACATGTATTCCCGTCTACGAGACGGCAATCAAGATATTCCTAGTCATTGTTATTGTTACGGCAATGTATCTGCGTTCAAGTTCCCACAATAGCGATAACCCTCTACATATGATATGCACACGAATTGATAATAAGGAGGCTGCGCAAATTGGCATCCATGTGAGTTAAACGAATGGAATAGTGACTACGAGGTACAAGGGAATTTAAATCGAACGTAAAAATCTAAAGAATATTTTATTAATGCAGCCTCTGTATTACGTATATGAAAATACTGCTATATATTTTCGATAAAACCGTCAGTGGAGCCTCGCACGTCCCATTAAGAATCCTGACCCGGCATTTTCTAATTGCATCTTCTTGGTGCGCTTCGGCACGCAGTACTCGTATGTTTCCGGTTTGTTAGCCTTTCCCGAAAAGCGTGCGTCGCGTGAGATGGGTTTAACGACTCCCTGACGTATGAGCTTTTGGGCCTCACCCTTGACGCTTCCTGACTAATGGGATGTTCTTCATTTTTTATTTTTCAGACTGGATGAACCCCTTCGACCGAGTCGTGTGTGGTGAGTAATACAATTTTCTATAGTATACGTATTTTTTTTTTAAATTTACATTCGATTCCAATGATTTTGAAATATTTGTATACCGGGGGATAAAATTTATATGTTGCGACGACATATGCTGATTTATTCAGGAAGAGTGGTAATTTCTTTCTTTTTCTTTTTTATTATAAACTATGATCTGGCGTGAAAAGTATTTTTAAAGCAATGAAACTTCCGTGTGAATATACTCGGGTAAAGAAATCCAAGAAGGAGTGTATCGTTATATTTTTATGATGCACACGTATCCCCGTACGAAAGGGATGCTCTTTCCGAGTGATTCGATTCTCAAGGAGTTGGCTATGAAACGAGTGAGAATGACACTTTTCAATGATATTGGCCATTTTTGTCTTGGGAAATAAAGTCACATTTAAATTGTCGATAACAATTTTCATGTACATTTATAGTCGTTTCCATTTGTTTCTTTGAGTCGCGTGGTGGGTACTTTACAGAAATTCGAAATAAACATTGGAATTGATAGCGAAACGTATCATTTAACGATTTTGTCTCTTGTTCATCTAATCATTGATTTTCATGGATTTCTTAATACTCAATTATTTATTACCATTTTCCTAAACTTTTTCTCCTCATCGTTTTTCTGTCTACGACCAACCAATCTTTATACAACAATTTATCTATAAGTTTCTCGCGAACCCTGAGCTAAACGTGAGGTTATATACGTTTATTTATGCTAGAAGAATCTTATAGTTTTCTCGTCGATGTTGAATATTCAAATAATTGAGGTTTAGCCAAATTTGTATACTATAAAAACAACGTGGTCGAAAGATCTTGATAAAACGAATTCATCCCGAAGCCACGGCATTGCGGCACATGTGGCTGCCATATTTGTGTCTCGCGTAAACCTGTTTCTCGATTTATGTCCAAAGAGTATACCTACGGGTTTGCTCAACTGCTCTAACCGTGCCTCTCCTTTCTTTTTTTAATTCAATATATCTTTTACTTGAAAGGCACGCAACTGTTCTATAAGGAACGATAGCGTTGAGTGGGAATTGATCTTTCCGATTACACTGATGGAATTTCAAAATCGAAATAATAATGCTGTCTTAAACATTATTTCCCAATAGAACGAATACAATGACGAGAATCAAAATAACATTTTAAAACGAATTTTGTAATTGTCATGAATAATTAAACTGTTAATTCGATATCGTCTGTCTCTCATTTTGACTCCGGTAGCTGCTTGCTAATTTCTCGTGAATGTCATATAAATTCGAGTAGCAAAAACTTGTATTTCCAAACATCGTATTTGCTTTTAATTAAAATTCTGATAATTACTTAAAATTAATGACACATCTCTCAATTCAATCTCAAGATCCTCTCATGTCTCAATATCGTTTTTAAAAAAGATATATCCTTTTCTCTTGTTGCTTCAGGCTGTATCATTCAGTCCCATTTTTTTCCTCGCAGAGTAGTTCTTTGAAGTGAAAGGCCCTCTACCTTACGTGCCATATACTTTCTGTGGAAAGTCCTGCGCTATTTTTATGACCGTTCGATACTACGACACGTAGAGTAGGTACTCGCGAAGGCGCTGGCTTCACGAGAATTACAGGGAAGTGCTATAAATTTCATAAACCGGCGACTCCAAGGGACGATTCGATTGGTAGTTTGGTATACGTAGTGTAGGTATATCAATATCACAAATAGTCAAAGGTTGCGCGAAGACATTTTAATTCTGGTTCTTTATGCACTTACTTCACCATAGGAAAATCATAATTCGTGCCAACATACCATACCAATATATACAGAAATGCTTGCTTAACAGCAATGACTATTTTATTTCACACGAAAAGAACCACAGCGCCATTTCATAAATCAACCAATAATCAGTTAATAAACATAATTGCAGTCAACAACTTGAGCAAAATTTCATAAATTATATACTCAAAGATACAAGATATCTCTAGATCTCGTTTCAATCAATTTCCATTTAGACGTTTGAATTCTAAAAGAAAATTCCAGATCTGTTAATAATTTCAGCTTCTTATAATTAATTTCACTGATACGTATGGGAGTCATTTGAAGCACAGAGAAAACAACTCCTTCGCACATTACCGAAGGTTTAACACGTTATTGATTAGTTACTTCGGTAAGTGAATTCAATACTAGACAGTAATTTCATACGAATTAAGATACTCAATTCCAGTTATGTATATTCCAGTTAATTTACGTCTCACTGAAATGCCACGTGTGCTATGTTATTTATTTAAGATTTCTCAAGTCCGTTTCCACCGTGTCTCCATACCACCACGCAATTGTGTCAGAAAGATCGACTTATCATTGCGTGTTACTAGATAGTTAGCAAGCACGAAATCAACGTCCCATAAGAGCAGGAGACGATCCGTTGCGATTTACCCTTTAGCTCAGACTGCCGGACATTTTATTTAACCCTATCGTTAATTGCCCTCTGAGCGTTCATTATAGACTTGTGAGGTAAAGGAGCAGCCGCCATTTCAGCCGCTTCGGGCGGCTCGTTCATTAAGACTATCACGGATGCAGGTAGTAGATACCAACCTATCTCAGGGTGCCACAACTATACCAGTTTACTCCTTAGACTCTTCCCACTAGTAATTCGAGAGGGGGAATTCGAGTCTTTGGGAATTTGTGGGACGTCTTACCATCTTCACGCAGATAGCGCAACAAGGGTCATTTCCTATGACGATACAGGCTCAGCTGTCTCCTTGTAATGTCGGATAACATGCAATAGGTACATTTACAAGAATGACTCCTCTTGTCGTCTCTGAGATAAAATAGTCTGCGCCAGCTTCAGCGTTATTTACGGTATACCAACGCGCGCAATGTTAAAATTCAATGAGGATCGAGTGCGTTTAAAAATTAATCATAATTTCACCGTGAAAATTTTATTTTGAATAGACGAAAATATTCGCACTGTTTAAATTTGATTTTGAATCGAAAACTTATATAGGCAAGATGGACAATCTCTTGTAATCTGATTATTTCGAGATGGATACGTTGTTGATATCCCGAGACGACGATTGCGGACTTTTACGAGTTATAAAGCAGTTATAGGGTAGGACCGCTCCTGAGGGTAAGTTCGTTGCGGGTCATGGGGTTCTATGGGAATCAGGATACGTGAAGAAGAGACGCCGGAGGGTAGAATGGCGGATGAACTCGGGACGTAATTAGAAATGGCTTCCAATTCCAATTTCGCGTTTATATGACCTGTTTATGAATGGTGTACCGTGAGCTAAGACAGCCTATGCACTCATCTCGTTGGGCGAGCTGGCTGGATTGTTCTCGATGAGGTGCGGAGATGTTTGACGAGATGAGAGTGAAGCAAGTAGGCAACGAAAGAATGGGAAAATGACTGGGAGCTGCTAGAAGGGAGAAGACTATGAGCTCATAAAATCATTACGTCCCCGACCTTTATGCGTTTATGGACCATAGACGATCCTTGTAAAACAGGCCCCCGGCCTGGTACCCTAGAATCACGGGACTCGAGACTTACTCCATTACTGGAGAGAACCTCGGCTTCGAAACGTCGATATCAGTATATCTTCTCGAGTTTCGATAAAGGAAATTGAAGGGGGCTGTATTTCCGAGCCCTCGTGGAAAAAAAAGAAACTTCTACGTAACTTCCGATCTTAGTCGGAACAGTTTGGAGACATCATTCGCATAAATTTTCATATTATACTTTTGTGGCTCAATATCAATTCACCAAATTCCTATCAGAATTTAGTATTTGACATATCGTTTTATTGTATCGTATAAAACCTCTTGATTTTGTCTGTTTCGTTATTCGTCTCAGGGTCAAATAATTAAATCAATGAATATTCGGATAATAAAGTTCAATTTCATTTCTGCTTTCATCCACTTCATCCAAGGGAAATTGGTCTTCAAGGATGATTTCAAATAATGATATTAGCATTCGAGATAATCATACTAAGTTGGGAAGTGGTCCGAAAAATTTTCTTTAGGAAATTTGCATTCTTAGGTGTAGGCATATAGGCACTAATCAGAGTTCACGTTTCGTTATCGTTACCTATACCAAAGTGGTATTGCTTCTGCTGGTTTTCTCTCTTTCTCAAAATCTATGGTCCGATATGGATTAGGAGAAGAAGCATGAACGAGCACTCCCTTTATTAACGAAACTTCACGATCCCTAAACTCTCGCAATGCGCACCCAACCGGCTCGTTTCTAAAGCGTCGGTCTGATTGTGGGAAGGTAATGCTTTTCTCCGAAACGATTCTCAACGAGGGGACGAGATGTTCATCTCCGCGTTGCCAGGCTATATCACCCAAGAAACTCCATTTATCCGTCATTGAAAAAATCGCGAAAATTTATTTGATTACAGAAACGAGATGCACTTAACGATATATACCTATATATGTGGATGGATGATGCCATTGACGCAGAAGTATTGTGGATACTCAATGAATGTTATACAAAAATATCAGACTTTGCACGCAGTGTGGTATAGTACCATATAATACTAAATATGAATTATATTAAAAATAAATACAGTGAGTCATTGCAAATTATTTTTCTTACAAATTTTAATGCATAACATTCTATAGTATTTTGTCACTTCAATTATACGTCATACTATTTTCTAGTATATTAGGTTTAGTATTCTCAATTCTTAGTCATGGGTATACTCCAAAGTGCAAGAGCAATAGTACTCTGGCTACTGAAGATCCATTCAATTTCGGCGTCCTAACGGGTGCACTGTAATACGGTATACTTTATGTACAGTAAACAAAGCGATCTAAATAAGACACTGCATGCCCGTGTCCCACTGTGAAGCACATTGCGCATTGCGCTCTTGATATAGGTACCTTCATATCATAGCGTGTCTCTACGAGTTCATCCAGACTCATTCTAAAGAATAGCATTAGGGCAATTCCTCGCTGGAGCGACACTGTCTATATATACACAGAATAGAAGTCAGGGATGTTTCACAGTGCTTCTTCGTACGGTGTCT